GGTAACCTCCAGCCCATTCTGATCCACCGATGATTACCAAGCACTTGACAATGGACACAATATCAGGTTGCAAGGACAGCACTGCTGGAAGGCGTCCTGTGTGCTGAGTGCCCAGTTTCCCAGCACAGAGGTGGCTTCTGACACTCGGGAAGGGGTGGGGCTGGAGCTCAACACCACAGGGACTCAGGTTTGCAAATATTGATCAGAAACATCAAACAGCGTGCTCGCCCGGGGCTTTTGTCTTCCCGAGGGGTTGAATCGATCCCACGTTCCTCGCGACTACTACACTACATGGTAAATGTGGGGAAGAAAAAGTGCAGCCTGTGGACTTATTTTCCTGTGTACAGATGGAAAGACAGGCATCGCAGGAGCAAACACCACCTTCATCCCCACCCAAGTGCAAGCACATGGCAGCCAGGGACACACAGAGCCAGGCAGCAGCACTGGCCCGATGTCCAGCGGACGTCCAGGAGGCGACAAGGGACTAAGTTGAATGCCCAGTGCTGAGCAGGGATCACGGCCACCACACGGAATTTTAATGACCACATCTGATACTTCAGCCAGAAGAATAGGAAGGATGTCTTTGAAAATCAAATGGATACAGAAAAATTAACAACAAAAAGTGAAGAACCTACCACTTGTGGCTGAAACATCCTGTTCAGAAATAACCCTATTGTGTTGCTTGAGAAGGCCAGGCATTCTCTGTCCTGGAAAGGCAGTATCGACACAGGGCTTTGATCCGTCAGATGCAAGCAGGAAATCGGGCTGATTTCATCTAATGTTCTAATCATGACCCATTTGTTGCTTCCATCATCCTTATGTCAAAGATGTCGCGTCTCCCAGGATGAGCAATTTTATGTCTATTAAACCATCTGGGATCACGGGGCTGCAGAGCCATTGCTAACGCACAGGGGAGGCAGGAGCAGAGACCTCCTGTGACTCATCCAGGTCAAAGCAGATTATGAATCTCGGAACTGCGCACGATGGATGACTCGCTCCTGTGCCTGCCCAGCATGCTCTGCTCCTCAGTGGGAGCACGCAGCTCACTGCCTGGCCAAGCTGACCGCCCCTCACAGCCTCCTGCCTGCCAGTAAATGACGGAGGTAGCATCAGTGACTTCAACCTCCACTCGCTTTGGAGTCACCTGGAGGATGATTTTAAAGCATGAGGCTGGGTTCCATTGCAGACCAGCTGAGCCAGCCTCCTGTGGGTGGGGTGACACAGCTGTTTTGTTACAGTTGCTCCAGATGTTTCCAGTTGCATGCAGCACTCAGGACTCCTGCCCTCCGTGACCTCTCCTGGTCTCCGCTCATCAGAAGAGGATGCACTCCCGTCCGTACCCGAGGCTCCTGGACAGCACCTTGGACCGACTGTATCTGCTGCCCTGCCCCACTGCTTGTGACTCCCTGGGCCTCGGTGGGGCTGGGGATCTGACAGTTCTTTAGTGGCACTCATCCTACTGTGGAGGGATCAGACTTTGAGAGTCACCTGCTAGGCTATGTTGACACAAAAACACACACTTAAAGCACAACACAAACTGATTTAACAGTTTCACAGTACACATGTCTGTGGTTGTCATTTCACAACCCAGCTAATTTCCATCACAGAAAACACAAATTGTATGATCACATTTGTAGAAGTGGTTAGGGTGGCAAAGCCCCAGTTGGGTGCAGGGGTAGTGAGGCCCCCCTGGGCATCAGTTGGGAGCCCGACTTCTGCTCTCAACTGACCTGATCAACTTCTCCAAATGTGAAGAGAGGTGTCACGTGACCATGAGCAGAGAAGCCTTTCACAAGGTGGGTGGCCTTAGATGCCAGAGGTCTGAGTGAGCTCCGGTGGATTAGCGGGGTCCAATGCCCCGCCCCGAGTCCCACATTCGCACTTTGATGTCTGCTGGAGACAAAGGGCACAGGGCGGTGCACACCCTCCTGGTTCCTCTCCCTGGCACCATCCTGTAAGGCACTTCCTGTATCCGCCCCAGTTGTCAGAAGAACTAGTTGGGAAGGAAGAGGGGAGGGGAAAAGTGTCACATGCTCTGTGGAGCAGGCCTACACGGACCAAAGTAGCAGAGCTGGCCTTTCAGAGCGCCTATGCCAGGCCCTGAGTGGAGAACGTGGCTCCGGACCTTGGATATTCACAGCACACCCAGGACATCCTACAGATGGGACGCTGAGCCCAGAGAGGACCAGAGCACCCCCCAGGAGACCAGCAGAGCGGGTATGGGACACAGCCCACCTGGAGTGACTCAAGCTGCTGCTTCTCTGTGGACCGGAGTGGGAATGCAGGAAGGAAGCCCCCTTGGGAAGGCCTGGCCCTGGCCCTGAGTGCTAAACCTGACTGCAGGAACGGGTGGCTGTCCATCATGCTGGGTTGGCGTGACGGGGCGGAGATGCCTGGCAGGTTAGAGGAGCCCCGTCTGGGTGTGCCTGTGGGACGACTGGCATGAGGACTGGCAGAGTGAGAGGGGAGGACTCGCCCAGGGTGACACCGACCATTGGGCTTCCAGGGAGAGGGAAGGACGGAGGGAGGAGGCTGGCGCATCCCTCTGCCCGCTCGAGCACGTGCGCCCTCAGCTGCTGTCCCTCGGCCTCTGGTTGCTTCATGTCCGTGGCAGACTCAGGCCAGTGACTCTTTGGGGAGCGTCTGCTCTGACCTCGGGCTGGTGCTGCGTCCTTGGCCCCCCTTGTTCTGCGGCTGCCAGCTCCTTGGGCTGAGGGCTGCTGGCTCCTCCCACCCTGGTGTGTAGACGCTGTGTGGACCCTCCTGCCTCAGACACTGTGAACAATCTCATAAATCTCCTCGCATCATCAGACATCTATTTTCGATGGCTTCTGTCCATCTAGAGAACCCAACCAACACAGGGTTGGTTCACTCTCTGTCTCCACTCCCAGGAAGTCTAAGTCAGGGATGGTGGTCGAGGGCCGTGACTGGAGGGGAGATGCACGATTAGCCCATTGCTTAGCAGGGTTACTGCAAACCACGGGCCCCAGGGCTCTGCCATACTGACCAGCTCCCGAAGGGGCAGACAGCTGGTCCCTGTGAGACACAGAGCCCGCCCCAGACCTGCCCTCCCATCTTCCACTCCCCCCCCGGAAGGGGAGCCTGAAGAGCTGCTAGTCAAGACACCTTCTTATGTTTTCTTTCACCAAGAGTGTTTCCCTTTACCATGTCCCCCACGAGCCCACAGAGAAACAGAGAATTTGAAATGAACTCTAAAATATGACTTTTCTAAGAATCTAGGCAAGCACAAAATATGGCCCTAGGCATGGGAATGGAATGTTCTTTCTAAAAGCTGGAGTAATTATAGTCTCTCCCAAAGTCATTCTCAAAAATAATGGCCCACATGACTGGTTGTGACCATCAGCAGAATATTATTTTCCACAAAGCCCTCTGTGTCGTTCAGTTCAGGTATCAGTAACGGCACTTTCAGGCTGTCCCCAGATGGAAGCGATGGTCCCCACAACTGCACCCCACTGAGGCAAGACGAGTGGCCTGGCTGAAGTGTAATTACCCTGACACACTCCTGATTCAAGTCCAATCTGCAGGGACCTGGCTATTTCATTTCCTTGGAGACAATCACAGGAGACAACACTTTCAGACTGGGGGAAATCCCACGGGGGTGAATGGCAACTGCACCCCTCTGATGGGTTGGCGACTTCCTGTCAGGCCTCTACCCTGTTGAGCCTAGGTCCTACAGAGAGGAGACGGGAGCCTAGCACCCTTCACCTGGCCCCCTGCAAAGTAGGTGTGGAGGAGCCCGTCACAGCTGGCAGCTGGTGCGTCCACTAGAGCCACAGAAGGAGCTCTTCTGGAGCCTCGGCTTGGGGTGGACCTTGGTAGGTCTCCGAGGACTTGATCACCAAGGTGTAGCTTCTCCAAAGCGGAAAGAGATACCGATGGAGTGAACATGTGCACAGCACAAGCCTGGGACAGGGGCTCGGAGAGAGGAGAAGTCGTATCCTCAGCACCAGACGGGGTAGAGTGGATTTTACCAAAGGCCATGGGTCGATTCGGGCTGAGAGCCCCTTCTGGGCTCTGACCCTTTTTGGAAGTGAAGGAAGGGGTCCTAAGGAGAGAACCCAATCTGTGTGCTCCCAAGAGAGGACACAGGTGTTCAGTACTTCAGAGAGAAAGATGCTCTCTCTCCTGAGCAGTCCCATTTTTCTCACTGAAGTGAGTCACAATTTAAATTTACGGTAATCATCTGGGGATTTAGTTCTGGTGCTGCTGCCTGCCTCGAAAGCGCAAGATCCTGAGTTTGATCCCTGGTACCAAGAAACAGACAAACAAACAAACAAATAAATTTATGATACCTGATGCAAGAGGACGACTCAGTCCCCTGCAGGCCAGGCAGGACACAGCTAGAGGGAACTGCCGGCTACACGCTGTCTCCATCCCCGTGTCTACCCAAGGCTGTGTGCTTCGTGCCTGGCTGCTGAGTCCATGCAGAGACACACACCCGGGGGGCTTCCCGCCACCCCTGGCCGGCCAGAGTCCCCACCTGGGAGGTCACCCGGGTCCCATTGGCCTCTGGCCACCCCATACCCTTTGCTCTGAAGTGCAGAGAGTTAATGGTGTCCAGATGTCCAGAGAGCTGAGGTCCCCACCATTTACTCTCAGAATATGCAATACACACTTAATTTAGACACATACGTGTGCACACACACATACACGTGAACTAGGGAATGACTATGCACGTCACAGTTTTCCTTCTATGTAATTTGAATCCTTTCCCCCTCATCTCAGTGTAACCATGGGATGAAACAGGTAATAACAATAACAACTTCTCAGCATGGATAAGGTCCAGGGTTCCATCCCCAGTGCTGCAAAAAATCGATAACAAATTCCCATGGTGGCCTTGCCACTCCCTGGACAGCACAAGCGACTGTCTCCAGCAGTAGTGTCAGAGGTTGGGAAGGTACAGAGGATGGGGATGGAAATCTTTTAGAAAATTCTAACACCCCATCTTACCTCCCATACGAAGGATGACCAATTTATTGTTGAATGTTTAAATTTAAAAATTTTATTACACTAAAATCCACCTTCCCCCCTCAAAACACTTCCTCAGAATACTCTTCTGTAGTTGCGCTGTTGTGGCTACCTTGATGTCATGAATCAATTCAAAATGTTTCCCTTTCATGTCAGTTTGACTTTGGGGAAGATCCAGGAGTTGCACAGTGCATTAAGGCGGGTAAAGTAGAGGAGGACACAGCATCGTGTTTTTACACACTGCCTTTCTGTTGGGTGGCGCTCGGCAGCAGCGTTTGTCGTAGTTTTTATCACACCTCTGAAAGACAGTCAGAAGAGAGGACTCCAAAGCTGTTTAGACAGTGGCCAGAAAGATGGGCTGAGAGTGCTCAAAGCAAGGGGCAGAATTTTGAGGGGACTCATGGTGATGTTTCTCTTACTGTAATTAAAAAAATCTAAACATGTATGGTTACTTTCATCAGCCCTGACAGGTTAAACTTCACCCCCTAGGAATGAATGTTCTGAGTGAATAGCTCCTCACACAAGAACATAATTGAACAGATCAGTCTCCACTTCTCCCTGTTTTAGTAAAGGTGGAAGCGCTCCTGGCGTACCTGTGCTGATTGAATCGCATACCCTGGGCACTTCTGTTGGGACACACAATGGTGTGTAGGCATGGAGTGCATCGTACACATCTTGTTTTGGCCTGGGACCAGCTTGTTTTGGGGGCACTGGCTTCCACCACACAGGAAAGGAAAGTTTTGGCTTTTCTAAGTGTTTTTACTCACCATTGGTAGGACAGCACGTGGCTAGCTTGGCTTTATCATCTGGGTTTTCCGCTCTGCTCATCTCAGCAGCTCCCTCAGTGACAGATGAATTTGAAGGATACCTAGGATGCTGGCTTGTCTCCACCTGCTAGGCAAAGAAGAATCATCACATAGAGTTTCTTCTCAGGGACTCTCGGCCTCTTGACTCTACAGCACCCTAAACCACCCATGTGATTTCTTATTTCCCAGATTCACCACATTTCTCTCTGAACACGACACAGGTTCGGGCCACCCACAGCCAAGGAGTTTGTAGACCTACTTACTAATGAGTGCGTTCACCTGGTACTCAGGGAGTACCCACAACTCTTACTGTTCACCAAGAATTTGTAAAAGAGTAAAATAGCCATTTGATTTACTTTCTGGAAATGATCATTAATTTAGTGGTGATCTACATTAAGTCTAGATGATTGCTATAATATTTAATGAGCCACAGCAAAACACTGAGTAGAAGACCGGAACTTATTTAAGGCTAAGACACCACTTGCTTCACCTAGTTAGACAAGCTTCTTCAGAAAGACAGACAAATGTGACTGCATACATAAAAACAGAGACACATGGAAGGGGTGCACAGAGGGGGATACTTAGAGGGAAAGATGAGAGGTGGGCAAGAGGAGTGAAGGAATTAGCTCACACTGTTGTGGAGAACTGATCCAAGATCTTCATGGTGGACCCACAGGCTAGAGACCCACCGAGGAGCTGGGGGTGGAATTCAAGGTGGGCTGCTGGCAGAATTTTTTCTACTCGAGAAACTTTTGACCTGAACTCTTCAACTGATAGGGTGAGCCCCACCCCATCGTGGAGGTGAATCCACTTTTCTCAGTGTTCCTCAGTGTTATGGTTCTGATTTGAAGAGTCCTCCCGGAGTCTTGTTCTGTGTTTGAAGGTGGGGTTTCCAGGTGGTTGGATTGACTGTAAGGGCTCTGGATTAGTCCGTTGGTGAGATTGTGATTGTGTAGCATAATGAGGAGGAGACGGAAATTGTAGGGTCGAAGGGAGTGGGTGATGGAGGCTGCCCTTGGCGACTGTGTCTGGTCCTGGGCCCTTTCTCCCTGACCTCTCTACTTCCTGTTCGCCATGAGGTGAGCAGCTTTCCTCTGACAGGCCCTTCCACAATGCTGTTCCTGCCCCACAATGGGCTTAATCGGGAGCCCAAAGAAATCTTAACTCCTCCGGGTTGTTTTCTCCAGTGTTTTTCACAGCAAGGACAAACTGATTAACGTAACCAATTTAAATGTTAATCTTATCCAAAAAACACCTTCAAAGAAACAATGAGAATAATGTTTCACCAAATACTTAGGCTCTGTGGTCCAGCCAGGTTGACATAAAGAATTAAACATCACAATCTTCATTAATCTTTTCTTGTTGTGGTATTTTCAGTTGTAGTACAATTAGACATTACGTTTGTGTTTTAAAAATTATAAGCGGGTGTGCGTAGGTAAATGAAATTACTCAAATGTCTTTCGAATATTTCATAAACCTTTCTTGTAAATTTTGTTTCTTGTTTTCCTAAATAAGTAAATAAACATCATCTGGGAGGATAAGAATTACTCTGGAAAAACCTACGGTGGGAGTAGAGGAAGAAAAGAGAGGTACATTTCAGAAAAGGAGTGAGGACCCGAGTTCCATGGGCTACTAACTAGGAACTTGGAAGCTACTAACTAGCGGGCGCAGTGCGAGTGGGAGAGGGGGGAGTTTGGGCCCGGCCTGGGCAACTTAGAGACATAATAAGAGTCTGTTTCTCCATGAAGATTTTAAAAAGGGCAGAAGGTATAGTTCAGTGTGAAAGCCCTGGGTCCAATCCTGGTACCACACACAAAAGAGTTACTAACAGGGGTAAAGCTAGCCTGGCCCGGAAGTGGGGAGCTTACTGGGGACCTGGCCTGCTGGGGATGCCCGGGGGCCGCATGGACCAGGGCGGGCTCTGGAGAAGCTGAGGGACAGCTGCTGTGTCCTGTGCCATTGGCGAGCGCCAGCAGGTGGGAGCTGATTCTGTGTGGGCTGGGGAGGGCTCCACCCAGTCCGGAACCCAGAGGCACCTGTGTCCCTATGACACTCACTGTGCCTGTGACCAGGCGTGGGCCCCCGGCTCCCAGCAGGGCTGGGCAGGGGCAGGACTCAGGAGGCCACTGTCCCACTTTCCAGAAGCCCACACAGTGCTTCCCTCCTCCGCTTGCCCACAAACAACCACCCGCACATCAGATATGGGGACCTCAGGGGTGTGATGACAAATACGGTGCGCTCAGATTTTTGAAAACGATTACAGTAAAAGATGCACTGCCACGAATCCCCTCAGAACGCTCTCCCTTCCTTAGAACACACTCATCCTGCCGGCCTCGCCACTTCGCTTCCTGCAGCAGCTCTGGAGCCCTCTTTCCTGAGTGTCTCTACTTGCGCTGTCCTGGCTGCCTCCATGCCCTGAATGGATTCAGCACGTTTGTTTCTCTTCTGTGGTCGTTCTGACTTTGGGAAGAGCCGGAAGTCACACAGTTCCTGATCCGGTGAACAAGGTGGATGAGGCCACGGTGTCATGATTTTACCCAGCCTGCCTTTCCCTTGGATGATGCTCAGCGGCAGCAGCCACTGCATCTAAGGTCACGCTTAGTAAGGACACTCGGGGAAGGAGAGAGCTTTTCATTCACTGTCCGAAGTGTCCTGACATGGGAACTAGAGGATGCCCCATCACACTCTGTGCTGAGCCCCAGCCCAGCAGCAGCCCACTCCTCCTTGTGGGGGCCCTGGCATGAGAAGCTGGTGTGGCCCCAAGGTTGTGTCACTTTCCCATTAATGGGACCCCTGCTGCACCCTGGGGGAAAGCATTCCTCCCGGGAGCTAAAACCTACACATCAGCAGGTCCAGGATTGCAAGGCTGAGAAGGTAGCATTTGCTCAGCAGGGAATTAGTGAGGGAGAAGGAGCCAGGGAACCAATTGCACCAACTCCTGGTGGGGAGAAACATGGCAAAGCCTGAGTGGCCAACTCAGAGAGCAGAAGGCACCAAGCCTGTGGGGCAGGAGCCCTGTGCGGTCCTGTGAGCCACAAGCTGCAGCATAACTGCCCCTCGTCAGCTCAGCCGCTCCACGGCGACAAGGTGCATGGCAGAGTGAGTGACTCCCAGGAGCCCGAGAGCCTTATCAGGCTTCACAGATGTGAACGAGACTTTCCCACTGGGAGGCCAAGCCCAGGGGAACCCGGTGGAGCATGAGGCAGCCCCTGCACCCTGCGTCTCTGGTGGAGCATTGTGGGCAACGGTGACACAGTGACCCCTTCAGATAGGTCGTTTCTTATTTTAATCAACTTCTGGGAAGTGAGTGGCTGACACACAGGGTCACCGTGCCGCTGCTCGCCAGCATTCGCCTCCCTACCCTTCACTCTCTCCCAGTTTGGACACCTTTGCTCTTTAACTGTTCACAGGAAACACCAGTCACCTGCCGGCATCTCAGTACACTTAGTGTCCCCAACACTTGTTAGGGTTTGGGTGACATGACCAGACTATAATCATCATCGTCATCATCATCTGTGAAGCCTTCAGGGATAGCCATATCTAGAAGCACAACTGAAGTTATCAAGTCCTTGTGGCTCTGGTTTTGTTCTTGGACAGAACTTCTCAACACAGCAGGCAAAATGTCCCAGGGATTCCAGAATTACTTGTGCTGAGGACCTCAGAAAACGACAGATACTCTGTCCTCTGCAATAGTCACTCGGTTTCCCCGGAGGAAGTGCTGTAAGGGAACCACTGCCACAATCAGCAGACATAGCAGCAGGTGTTCAGGTAACCATGGCAACAGCCTTCCTTACACACTCCCACAGTGCCACACCCCTCTTTCTTCTGGACAAACACCTTGTCCTGTAAAATGCACTCTGCCTTTCCTTCCAGAAACATACCTCATCCAATTTCTGGTATTGTGCCTATTTTCACAATGCATGTCCTTCAAATACACTGATGTTTCGTTTACAGTTTTTCCCTGTGTTTCTCAGTGCTGATTTCATCCCTTGTGAAACGCACATGGTCCACCTCGGTTCAGGATCTTCCTTTCCTGGGATTCCATAGCAATTTCTGGAATAGTTAGGGTAATCAGCAGGGATGATATTCAAGTCTAAAGAGAGCTGGAAAACCCTCTGGGTAGAGAATTGGGGTAAATCTTTCCCTCTTATAGATAAGCGTCCAAATGACAATTCCAGATTTCCAACCATTCTGGGGTCCTGAGTTACACAGCCCAGTGCTGACTGATATGGCTCCTGGCCCTATTTCATTTACTTATTTATTTGTGTGTGTATACTTGGAAATTCTCAAAAGGAAGTCTCTAGGCAGACTTAGAAAGTCCTGTGTGCCCCCTTCAGAGCTGCCTCCCTTGTCGTTTGGAGTGCCTATTCCAGGCCTGGAGAATACACTATTACCGTGCAGGGCAGGTGGGGTTGACAGACACTTTCAGGTCACAAGGAGAGTGACAGGGTCATAGAAGGTCTCAGGAGGGGCCATCTGTTCCTTTGAAGAGATCAGGCAGACTTCCTGGGGAGGTGGCAGCTGCCTGCTGTCCCACTCTCCCCGGATGTCCTTGTTTGTGACCATCATAGGAATTTAAGTCATTTGTAAACCTCAGGCCTGGTAGCTCCTTAGTTCATGGCTGGGGCGATAAATTCAGTATTCCTCAAAGCATTGCAGGTGTCTTTGGTGCCAGGTGAAAGAATTCCCTCTCTCCTGATGCTACCAGGCCTTGCTGCGGCCTTGAGTCTGTGGCGTTCCTACTTGTTTTCTCGGCAATGGGCTTGTGGGGTGCAGTGGGGAGACCTGTGAAACTCATCCGGCGTCCTGCACTGGGCTTCTGCTGAAGCTAACAATTATCTTAACACAATATTTACCTTGTGCGGAGTTGCACTGTTCCTGTCTTCCCTCAGCAAGCTCCTGCCGGGTCACGTTCAAAGCAGAGATAAATGTTAGCTCTGGAGAGCGTGCGCTCCACAGAGCCAGAAACATGGGAACTGCTGTCCCCGGAACCCACGGGAGCTCTTCCGTGGCCTCGAGCCCAGGTGCCTGGGGCTGTGTCTGGGGACCCGCTTCTTTGTGACTGTTGCTGGCCATGCCTGCAAAGGTCTCTCCCAAATTACGCCAGAATAGGACAGATGATGTCCTGGTCACTTTCTGCTGGAAAGGAGTGAAGTTTCTCTGAAGGTCATCCGGCGGTGACTGTATTGATTACCTACATCGATCATTTTATCAAGTATTTGCCCAACCTCCACCTAACTCCATGCCATGTCAATGTTGTCTCCTGCCAAAGGGCATGGTGTAGATAAGAGCACAAGTTCCCTGCTAACAGAGTGTCCCCAAAAGAAATGTGGCTGCGGCTTTGATGCTGGCCGGTCCTGGGGCTCTGGCCCAATTTCCTGACCCGATGCAGATGTCTCACTTTCTCCTAACTTGTCAGCGACTGAGAGCAGGGCCAATCATACAGTGCCTTCTTCATCTAAAACCCCGAGCTGCCTCGTTCGAACACACTTTGCAGAATTACAGACTTTGTGGGTGGGGTGCCTGTATGCCTGTGATCTTCTCCGGTCTACATGCTTCCAGCCTTCCTGCTGACCCCAGAATGAAGTCCCAGCCGTGGCAGCTACAGGAAAAACAGAATTTTCCAGAACAACTCACAGCCCTGGGGAGTTTGGTGGGCGAGAAGGAATTAGAGAGTAATCAAATTAGTAGGGCTCAAGCTCTCAACTGACTATAAATGTGACAGAATTATGAGAAGAGGGACTTAAAGAGTGTTGAGTAAGAGAACAGCCCTATTTAAAGGAGGGAGAGACTGAAGTGAAGTTTCAAAAACCTTCATGTGGGGTGTGCACGTGCACGTGTATGTGTGCATTTGTCAAAATTATTTGTGCACAAAATGCAATAGAGAATAATACAGGAAACCCTGCCATGCAGCATGCTTCATTGCGGACGCACACAAACACACACACACACACACACACACACACTCCACACCATGTCTTTACTGATCCTCAGACAGACCCCTGAGCAGCTTAGGAATCACCTATGTCTGAAATCATCAAATCGCAGGGTTTGGTGGGCAGCCTGGGACCCACCTGTTGGGGTTTTCAGGGTGATTCTGTGGCAGCCAGGGCGTGGCTCCTTGTTTTGGATAAGCCCTGGCCATGCCCTCCTGGTGCAATTTCCTCCCGTTCTGCCTTCTGCCCAGGTCCCTGTGGCCCCCGCAGGATGGAATCCATGCACTCCGACTCCTCTGTGGGTGAAGGGAGTTGCTCGTGCCCTGCATCCGGAGCTGGAGAAACTGATCTGTGTCTAGACTTTCAAGTTTCTGTTCTGCATTGCAGAAGAGGTGATGGTTTATATCAGGATGGCTGAAAAGCGGCGTGCGCTCATGGGCAGGAAGGTGACTGGACCGTGGGGTCTGAGCTGACTGCTGGTGGGAGGCGGGGCCTGGTGAGAGGAGGCGGGGCCTGTGGGAGGGGCGGGGCCTGTGGGAGGGGCGGGGCCTGGTGGGAGAAGTGGGGGCGGGGAAGAGGCCCTCTCCAGGCTGGGCCTGAAGGGTCCTCTCCCTCCCCGCTCCTCCCTCGAGCTCAGTTTCCTGTGCGCGGTGCGCTGAGCAGTCTCCTCCGCCAGGCCCTCTGCCTGCTGTTTCTTCTTTGCAGCCAGCTGACCAGAGGGAGGTGTGAATTGCGTCTCAGGGATGAGGCCAGTGACTACGATGTGGACCTGATGCTGCCTCCCAGCGAACCCGGAGCCTGCCCCACAGCCCGCTCCTGCTGGGATCTGCCGGCATCCTGGAGCGAGTGGTGGCCCGAATGCCGCCCACATGGACAGAACCGTCTCTGTGAGCATCCGAGGGGGCGGCCTCAGCCTGGGGAGCAGGCAGGAGCGGCCTGGGGCCGGATGACAGCCTCCCCCCAGCTGCTGCCTGCACCAGAGCTTCCAGCACCTTCCTCCCGAGCACGCGGCCTGCGGAGCGGATGGCCCGCAGCATCCAGGCAGAGGTGGGGCAGCCCGGAGAGGCGCGAGGCCAGGACAAGGCCAGGACCAGCGCGGAGAGGCGAGTGCTGGGACGTGCTGGGCCCTTTCCAGGCGCTCCCCGGTCAGAGGGAGGCGGGACGCGACCTAGGAGGGGCAGAGACGCCTCCGCACGCCTCAGTCTCCCGCCAGGACCGTGCTGTGACTGCCCTCAGCCCCTGGACCGGGCTTCCTCCGCCGGCTCCGCTCCGGTGGCCCAGTGCTCTGCGCACCGGCTCTCTCCCTCCTGGAGAGCAAGGCTTTCTGCCCTCCTCTCTCCTGTCTCCTCTTCTGTTCTCCCCTGAAGCCCCTGCCCTCGGCTCACTCCTCTCTCCTGCAGCCACCCTTCTTTGCTTTTCCAGGACTGAGGATTGATTGAACCCGGGGCCTTTGCATCAGCTACATCGGTAGACTTCTTTTTATTTTCAGTTTTGAGTTTTCAGCTTTTTGCAGCTTAGTTCCACACCTCAGGGGGAGAAGACTTTTCCCCGAGGCACTTCCTCTTTCCGCAGGTGGAGAATGAGAAGCAAAGCTCTGATGGCCGGATCTTCCCATCCTGCTTCGGAAGGGCCCACATCGCAGCTCTCTCACTCCTCCGTGAGCGCTTCACTGCACAGCACGTCCTGAGACCAGAGCTTCGCAGCCTCCTCCCGGCTGACACCAGGGCCAGACAACCCTCTGGGCTGGGCCCACCCTGGGCTCCCCCACTAGATGCCAAGAGCACCCCACCTCGCTGGTGACAGCCACACTCTAGACCTGGCCAGATGTCCCCCAGGGACACAATTGCCTCTGGTTGAGAGAGACTGAACTCCTGCACTCACTGGCGGGGCTTTCGGAAGGTGAGTGCTTTGTGGGGCTCACAGCTGACTGCTGTCAGGAGGCGGGGCCTGGCGGGAAGAGGGGGTTGTGGGCGTGGCCTGGAAGGTTCCTCCCCCTCCAACTCCTCCCTTCTCCTGCTTCCTGTCTTCCATGCCCTGAGCAGCTCTGCTCCGCCAGGCCCCTCTGCCTTGGACCCGCCCACCAGGGCCTGAAACCGCTACAGACTGTCAGCCGAAATAAACCTCTCCTCCTTTAACTTCTGGGTGTTGAGATGTGAGGGTGTTTCCATGAAGAAAGAGACTAAAATAAGAGCTTGATTCTTTGAATGCGAATTCAGAAAGAATGGCTTTCGTCTAATGCATTGGGTTTTTGGGCCATAATAGAAGTAAAGCTAAATGCTGACTATACACCATGAATTTTCTGTATTGTTTTACTGCTTAAATATGTTGCATGAGTTGAGTTGCCTTTCATATCACGCTCACAGTATGCATTATTCCTTGAAATATGGTGGTAACAGATCTAAAGCTAAAATCAGTGTTGACCGATTTGGAAAGTGTCTATCTGTGATAAGCAGTAAATCTCAGGGTCTTCTACCCTCTCCCCCAGATCAAACATTGTTTGGTAATAACATAGTCTTACCTGGGCCATAACATTGTATTATTTCACATTTATGTTGTGCTTTGTATTACTGATCACTGTACATTTTACATTTTGCCAGGAGTTTTATTAAAACCATTTATTTTGGATAATAAGGTAGATGAGATATTTATAGCAGTAACATTCTTGAAAACACTATAAACACATGTTTCAAAATCTAGGAGACCACAAGAAGAATTCTGATTTGTGGAAAACTTGTTACTTGTTTTTGAGAATTTCTTATTAATGCAACAGAATTACTGGTTTCCCCCAGAGCTGCAGAGACAGACTGTGGCCACCAGCAATCTTTATAGTTAAAATAAAATTAAGAAAGCTAGGGTTAATATTATAAATAATTGATTATCATTTAGTATGAAGTAATTACCTTTAAAGTAATTATCAGAGTGAACAAGTGACTGCTTCAGGATTATTGCTTAATTACTATTAAACAACAAAGTACATATGGCATATTGGTATTCCTTGTTTATTAGTATTTTTACAAGCACAGATGGCTTTGTACAATCAGGAAGACTAATAGGGAATAATCTTTTTTAATGTAATTGTCACATAAATATGTCAAATGATTTTCTGTTTGTTTTCCTAACATTATAATGTATTTTAATTAAGATGCTAAGGACAGTAATTTTCCCTACCTAACCAAACCTAACAGGAAAGATATATTTAAAATGTTCTTAAAGCTTTATTATAAAAACATTTATATTATACCACTCCTTTTCACATAGAACTGTGATCTAGCTTTTATGTCAGCTGAAAAATGCATAGAAATGAAGAGAAGGAGGGTCACTGTGTGGATGACCAGGGTAGAAGAGAGCCCAGGTTCTGCGGGGCTCTGTTGGGCCAGCACAGTTCCCAGGGAGGTTATGTGTGGTGCCCTTGCACAATCTTCCCAAGTGAAACTGCAGAAACATGGTACAGGGGCCCGACAGCCTCCCTCAGGATCACTTCTCTCTCAGCTCAGCTTCAGACACAACTGGAACTCCCTTCTTTTCCAATTTGCTGCTTTATTCAGTCCCCCATGGTTCTAGTTAGGGCTTTGCCAGTAATGCAGACAGGTCGGGGTACCCTGCTCACCCCAAAAGCCACCCTCTCCCTGCGCACAGACACCCCAGGTACACCTATCCTTCCCGACAGCCACTCACCACCCCTGCTGACCCATCCCAGCATCTTTTGGAAACAAGCTAAACCCTGTCCAGTGTGCATTCTCCATGCTAAGGACATGAGTGTCATCCGCTCTAGACTGAAGCCCTGGGATTTGCACAGAAAGTCTCACCAAATAGAACTCTTTAAACAGCATCATTTGTCAGAGAAATGGTGACAAACCATGTGAAATAACCAAGTCTGATTTCCTGATTGAAGAAATTGGGGAGGGGGGAAGAGGGAGAGAGAAACATGCTAATGACTGCCGAGACCTTTAGACTTCTCTGTCGGGAGGCCTCCATTCCAAGTGGACAACTTGATTCCAAAGGAAAAGTATGAATTATTAATTTCAATAATGCAAAAAGGCCTCCAAGGAGACTGGCTTTTTCATTATGAGACAAGGTCATTCATACAGGTCAGATTACCCCAGGCTATGATTATAAAAGGATAGTGTATATTGTTTTACATAAAAGTTTTGTGGTATGCACCATAATCCCCCTCATTTGATAAATATTAGCTCACTCAAAACATTTCCGGACAATGTTTCCAAGTTTCTGAGAACTCACTGTCACCCAGGGAGCATGTTCCAAGTCCTTCCCTTTCGGACTGTCCTTGTCACTGGCAGCTGCTGGCATCTGAGGTTACTGGCTGGCTGTGCGTGGCTGCAGGGCTGGAACCTCTAAGAGCACCCCTCTCCTCCTGGGGACATAAATGGATCGTGGGGGTGACTCCCATGAGAGTTCGCACACAGCTAGGTGGAAGTGTCCACTGAGGCTGGACCCCAGCCTGCTGCAGTGGACACTCACTGTCCCAGAGGATGTGGAGCTCCCGGCAGTACCAGAGCTGTACCACTGCAGTGTCACGAGACATAGCATGTGTAGCAGGCGGCCACAGGTATAGCAGCTGGTCACAGCAGGGCAAATCCCTGAGTGGCCACACCCCTCGAGGCTGTTCTGTGCTGTAGAGTCTGGCCCCAAATCAACAGGTCCCAAGAGAAGTGGAATTTCCATTCTTCTCTAACCCTAACCCTCCCTCATTTTCTACCAAAGAATAATCAAGTTTGTAGAACCACCGAGTAAAAGACTCTTTGATCTGCCGCAATTCTAGACTGTCATTTGTTTGAAAAACATTGAATTATGCTTTTCAAAGTGTAACAGGCACTGTCCACTGGGCTGTCTGTGATAAGGCAAACACCTATGCCCGTGGCTGTCCAGCACGGTAGCCGCGATCCAGGGGGTCATGGAACACCAGAGCTGGGGCTACTGTGACTGATTTTACAATTTAGTTTTGTTGCATTTGAGTGAAGCAGCCTCACGGGACTAGTGGGTGTTCTACTGACACTCTTAAGGTTTAAATTAGTTGGTCACTGACTTTTTAAAGATAGGCTATTTGTCTTCTGTAAAATCAGGGTTATCAAAGCAAACTCATCATCCAAATATTGCTAAAGCTGTCTCCCTGAAACAGACGTGAAACACAGAAATTCTGCCCTGGGCCCTCGTCTGTGAAGTTCAGACTCCTCAGCTTCACATGGCCCTGCCCAGCGACGTCACATCCTGAGGTTCAATGTTCAGCCTCACTGACTCTAGCACAACAACCTGACCTGGTATTAAATTATCCATTGGATGCGTTGATCCTGAAATAATGAAATAAACCAGGCTTTCTCTCATTTAGATTAGTTGGTCATTGATAAATGGACACTGGGCACTCTCCGGGTGTCCCAAGGGTGGGCAAACGGATCAGGTCCTAACCCTGACGCAGCTATGTGTTCTTCTCCAGCAG